GAGAAAGACCCTGAAATAATGGCTTCTTATCGCCCAATTTCTTTACTCTCGGTGGAAAGTAAAATCTTTGCCAAGGCAATAGCGATAAGATTAGAAAAACACCTTTCCTTGCTCATTCACAAAGACCAGACCGGCTTTATAAGAAATAGATCCTCAATGAACAACCTGAGACGCCTTTTCTACATAACCTCAGAGATAAGAAGCCCTAAGGACACACCTGTAATCGCTTCATTAGACGCAGAAAAGGCGTTTGATCGCGTGGAGTGGTGTTACATGTATAAAGTCCTGGAGCATTTCAATTTTGGTAATTATTTTATGAATTGTGTGAAGCTTCTATATGATAAACCTAGAGCCAGGGTTAGCACCAATGGAATTATATCAAACTCCTTCGCTGTTGGACGTGGCACAAGACAGGGGTGCCCCCTATCACCCCTTATCTTTGCGCTCATCCTGGAACCTTTAGCTCAGCGAATTAGAGAAGATCCTAACATAATGGGAATTCCAATTGGGAAATCTACTCACAAAATTGCGCTATATGCGGACGATATACTCTTGTTTCTATCCAATCCGGACATTTCACTCAAAACCTTACTGAGTCTGATAGATGACTTTAGTAGCTTCTCTGGTTACAAGATTAACTGGTCTAAAAGCGAGCTCCTCCCACTATCTACCCCAGACTCATTTACGGCAACTCTCTGTTCACCCTTTCAGGTTCAATCAAAGATCAAATATCTAGGTGTTATAACAGACGGTACTATCAAGAACCTTTATAAACTTAACTATTTACCTCTGTTACAAAAGATCGAGAAAGACCTGGTCAGATGGACAACTCTTCCTCTAAGTCTTATAGGAAGAACAAACGTCATCAAAATGAATATATTCCCTAGACTCATGTACCTATTCCAATCAATACCAATTGATCTTCCACAATCTTTCTTTAAAAAATATAATAAATTAGCTGCAAGATTTATTTGGAGTAACAAGGCCCAGAGAATTAAAAGGTCCACACTATGTCTGCCGATAGAGAGAGGAGGTCTAGGGCTCCCAGATATTCAGTTATACTTTTGGGCTGCCCAGTTACGACCACTCTTTTACTGGTTTAGAGATGACGAGGCTCCTTCCTGGACACAAATAGAAAGTGATATTTTAAATACAGAAGACCTATCGCATATCCCATATTGTTTCAACATTAAAACTATAACAAAATGCACAAATAACCCAATCATCACTCACTCACTTAGGATCTGGGACAAAATTAACCGCTTTTTAGGACTAGGCACCTCCCTATCTCCACTTACCCCTATAGGTTCCAACCCTTCCTTAGACTTTGTACAGAAAGACCTGGGTTTCAAGATATGGGGCCAGAAGAACATAAACAAGATAGGTGACCTATATGATGGTAACACACTAAAATCATTTCAGCAGTTGAGAGACTCCTGTCAATTGCCGGCCACTCATTTTTATAGATATCTCTAGTTAAGGCACTTTATACGATCACAGCTTGGTGGTGCCCTGGAAAAACCGGAGCTTTCTCAGCTAGAATCACTGCTCACTCAAGGAACAAATAAAAAACAGATTTCAAAAACTTATAACCTTTTGATAAAAAATAACAAAGCCAACATTAATTTGATTAAAGAAAAATGGGAAAAGGATCTCGAAATCCAAATAGAGGACGATCATTGGTCTTCACTGCTTACAGATGCACATAAAAGATTTATTAACACAAGATACAGAATTTGTAATTTTAAAACTATTCATAGAGTGTACTACACTCCTGAGAAAATTAGCCGTTTCAAAGGCAGCACTTCTCCATTTTGCAAAAGGTGCAAAACTGAGATAGGGAATCTCCTACACATGTTTTGGACGTGCCCACAGTTAGAACAGTGGTGGAAGGATATAGAACATACACTTAAGAAAGTCCTAAAGATGGAACTTAGCTTATCACCTCTTATAGTGCTCCTCGGTGACTACTCCACTCTCCGGTTTAGCTCGAAACACTTAGCTGACTTCTTTGGACTGGCCATGACGGCAGCAAAAAAATGCATTCTGTCCAAGTGGATAGCTGAAGATTCCCCTAATCACTCTCACTGGGTAAATGAACTTAACCACTGTATGCCATTAGAAAAGATCACATATAATGTAAGAGGTAACCAACAGAGATTCCTACAGAAATGGAAAGCTTGGATTAATTTCCTAGAAACATGACTCAATAAATCTGTACTGCACCACTCTTATTTATTTATTTATTTATTTAAATTTTTAATTCTTATTTTTTTTATTTACTTATTTTTGTCTGTTTGCTTTGTTTTCAATATCCTTACTACTCCAATATTTATTTTAATTAATGCTGCAACTTTATTATTATGTTAATACATTACTGTATTGTGTTTTCCTTACCCTTTGTTTTGTAATGTAAAAGTTCAATAAAAATAATGTTCAAAAAAAAATAAATAAATAAAAGGAAAACTGTGGAGAAATGTGCTTTAACTCTTTATTGTGAAACAATAGAAAACATACTGAAGCATTTTAAAAACCTTAAATGAATTTCCATTTTGTAGCCAGCAAGATAAGGAGCAACAGGGGAGAAGATGCTTCATCAATGTCTTGTGGGAAACAGGACTGATGAGAAAGATTTAGTACTGTATGTCTGTGAATGTTCTCATTCGTCCAGGTCATAGTTATCTCTCTCTCAAATTAAATCGAAGGCAACTGGACTTGTATTTGTCTGTGGAAGACGTTTCGCCTCTTATCCAAGCGACTTCATCAGTTCATCATGTATTGGTCTCTCTAGTCCGCACTAGTCTGACCAAGAAAATGGAGTAGGACCCAGGTATTTAACCTCTTGTGGGTGGGTCCACCAAAGTACCTGTGAAAGTACTGGTTTCACCTGACCATTGTTGTGGTCTCATGTGGACGACCGTCGTTAGGGGTCAGGTGACCCTGTTGTTGTCCCCTGTGAACGACAGTCGTTAGGGTCAGGTGAGCCCCTGGTGGATGACGATCGTTGAGAGTCGTCTGAGGTTATGTTGTTGACTCTCCTGGGTACCGATGAAAGGGCGACATTGTAGATGGGGGATAGATGGTGTCGCAGACCCCCTCCCCTGTTTAGCGATGGCCTCTCCACTTTTACATAGATGGCTTCCTTGACTCCCCTTTCAAACCATCTGTCCTCCCTGTCCAAGATTTTGACATTGCTGTCTTCAAAGGAGTGTGCCTTTTCCTTTAGGTGGGAGTAGACAGCTGAGACAGGGCCTGAAGAGTTTGCCCTTCTGTGTTGGGCCATACGTTTGTTTAAAGGTTGTTTAGTTTCCCCAATATATAGGTCATTGCAATCCTCACTGCATTTGACCGCATATATCAGGTTGCTTGTAAGCAGCTTTGAAGACAGCAATGTCAAAATCTTGGACAGGGAGGACAGATGGTTTGAAAGGGGAGTCAAGGAAGCCATCTATGTAAAAGTGGAGAGGCCATCTCTAAACAGGGGAGGGGGACTGCGACACCATCTATCCCCCATCTACAATGTCGCCCTTTCATCGGCACCCAGGAGAGTCAACAACATAACCTCAGACGACTCTCAACGATCGTCATCCACCAGGGGCTCACCTGACCCTAACGACTGTCGTTCACAGGGGACAACAACAGGGTCACCTGACCCCTAACGACGGTCGTCCACATGAGACCACAACAATGGTCAGGTGAAACCAGTACTTTCACAGGTACTTTGGTGGACCCACCCACAAGAGGTTAAATACCTGGGTCCTACTCCATTTTCTTGGTCAGACTAGTGCGGACTAGAGAGACCAATACATGATGAACTGATGAAGCCGCTTGGATAAGAGGCGAAACGTCTTCCACAGACAAATACAAGTACAGTTGCCTTCGATTTAATTTGAGAGAGAGATTTAGTACTGTAGAGTGGATAATGTAGGAGCTGCCTGAACCATAGAAATCAGACTGAGAGCTTGACCAGCTGCAGCAGTGGTGGAACAGGAAGAGCCAGACCACCAATAACAGAAGGAGAAGAGGACATCCTCCAAAAATGACACCACACAATTTTTTGGTCAGATGAAACCAAAGTAAATCTGTTTGGATCAGATGTGGTGATGTGAAAGGTGGAGGGGGGCATAACATTTATAGATGACACTGTGAACACAGGTTAGTACTCAAATACTGAATGAAAAGACGAGTCCCAGTCTCAAGAAGTTTCCAACATGACAGTGATCCAAGCACATGATTTAAAAGAAGAAGAAGATGAAAACTACAACCTGTTTGTCCCTTTGGACACCCGTCACTTGAATAGAAATCCTTTGGAGGATGTTAAAGCAGAAAGTAGAGACAGAAAACCTGCAGCAAAGAGCAGCTGAACAAACTCATGTTTAAGAACAAGTCTCCGCAGATCAGTGTCAGACTGGTATAGTCCTGGTCCAGTAGGATGTCCTCAAAAGCAAAGGCAGACACACAGTATTAAAAACTCAGAGGGGTCTCAGTATTGAAGGTGACTTTAGCTGTAGGTGCTTCTTTTATATGAATCTCTCATTATAGTTTAATTCATCGCTTTGGTTTTTAAAAGAGTCGGCTTCATTCTTTGGTTTTGGTTAAAAACAAATGAAACTATATTAAATCTACAGGATTTAATTACTGGAATTAACATTGTAGTCATTCTGACACGATCAGTTTTGTGGTGTACTGTGGATAAGTGAACACATCAGATCAAACTCTGTTTCATTAAACACTCAGCATTAAAGGAGTTCAGTCTGATCAGGACATCTGTAGTTTAACAGCTGATCCTCTTTCTATCTTTCTATCTATACACTGATCAATACGCTGATCAATATGCTAATCACTGATCTATACACTGATCACTGATCAATACGCTGATCACTGCTCTATACACTGATCTATACACTGATTACTGATCTATACACTGATCACTACTCTGATCACTGATCTATACATGGTCTGATCAGTGGATAGATCTTAACTGATAGATCAATACATGTATGATCACTGATCAATACAGTGGTAATTCTCTGACTGTTGTTTGTTCTTCAGATGGATTTATGGATTACGATGTGAGTCGCTGTGACTTTAACTTCTCTGAGCCGAACGACATCACGTACATCTACTCTATGTTCTACAACAAACTGGGGAAGTTTGTTGGATACACTGAGATCGGAGTGAAGAACGCTGAACGCCTCAACAAAGGTCCAGAAGTGGTTCAGAGGAGGAATGAGTGACATCATCAGGTTAAACCTCAGGTTCATCCACTGACTGAACCTCAGACTCAGTTTGTTCCACATGTTTTTATTATTATTTTTCTGGCTTCATATTTTCTCTGTTGGTTCGTCAGGACTCATTAACGATTATTTCTCTGTGTGAAATGAAGTGATGTCACAGTCTGTGTCTCCACCTGGTGGAGAAACAGCGTCACTGCAGCTGCTGCTGTTCATCACACTGTTAATGACAATTATCATTTTATCTTTTGATTTTCTGCTTCGTTTTCCCAGAAATCAAAACTATAAATCTGTTGTTTGACATTAACTGTGATATTAAAGCTGCAGCAGATAAAACTGCAGCTGTTATAATGTGATCATGAGAAAATAACAATAATAATAAAATGATAATAACAACAACAACAATAATAGTATTGATAATAATGTGTGTTCCAGTTGAGCCCTACGTGGTCATGAGCTCCACGACGCCCCCTGCTGGTAAACATCCTGCCATGTTGGTCTGCAGCGTCTTCGACTTCTACCCCAAACAGATCAGAGTGAGCTGGCACAGAGACGGACAGGAAGTCTCCTCTGATGAGCTGACAGATGGTGATTGGTTCTACCAGGTCCACTCTCACCTGGAGTACACACCCAGGTGAGTTCACCTGCAGGTCCAGGGCCAGGTCCAGTTGGTTCTGGTTGGATCTAGTTGGGTCCAGATCAGTGGTGTTGAAGGTCTGGAGAGAAGATCTCCTGTGTGGTGGAGCACGCCAGCCTGAAGGAACCTCTGGTTACTGACTGGGGTAAGTACCCGTCTGTCTGCAAACCTGTCTGTCTCTACACCTGTCTGTCTGCTCACCTGTCTGTCTCTACCTGTCTGTCCTCAGATCCGTCCATGCCTGAGTCAGAGAGAAACAAGATCGCCATCGGAGCCTCAGGACTGATCCTGGGTCTGATCTTATCTCTGGCTGGATTCATCTACTACAGGAGGAAGGCCCGAGGTCAGAAACCAGTTTACACCAGTTTATTTGTCTGGAAAACCAGTTTACACCAGTTTACAGTCTGAAAAACCAGTTCAGTCCAGTTCAGTCCAGTTCAGCCATTCCAGTTCCAGTCCAGTTCAGTCCATTCAGACCCAGTTCAGAACCAGTTCAGACCAGTTCAGATCAGTTGCAGTCGAATTCAGACCAGTTCAGTTCAGCCCAGTTCAGACCAGTCTTAGTACCAGTTCAGACCAGTTCAGACCAGTTCACAAGTCCAGTTCAGTTCAGTCCAGTTCAGATCAGTTCAGTCCAGTTCAGACCAGTTCAGACCGGTGTAATGGGGAAGTACCGTGTGGTGGGTTTCTGTAAACAGAGGACTGGACAGCAGGAGAGTGTTTGGTAGTTTCCTTGACAGCTGTCATGAAACGTGTCGCCAACAGCAGAGAGTTCCTGACCGAGAGCGCACTGCGTGTTCACTGCAGTCTGCTGTTCTACACTCACCACACAGTGTCACTGCTGCGACGCCTGTAGTGCACGTTACATGCAACGGGAGAGAATGAGAAACGCACAAACAGCAGCGTTAGCACCTCAAGCTATTAACCGTGATGTCATCAGAGTTTATGACCCAAACAGATGGAATGATGAATGTGCTGTATGTTTCTGTTTCTGACCCGGTCCTCATCTCTTCTCTCTGAAACAGGACGGATCCTGGTTCCTACCAACTGAGACGGTCCTGTATCCTGGACCTGGACCTGGTGCTGGTGCTAGGTCCGGTTTCTGGTCTTGGTCTTGTCCTGTTTAGTCCTGGTCCTGGTCCTGGTCCTGGTCCTGGTCCTGGTCTTGGTCTTGGTCTTGGTCTTGGTCTTGATCCTGGTCCTGGTCCGGTCCTGGTCCTGGTTCTGGTCCTGGTCCTGTTGCTGCTTCTCAGATGGAAGAAAAATCAGCTGCTGCTTTAACCTGCTTTCTGTTTTCAGCTCAGACTCTCGGTGCTGCCACCTGCTGGACTGGCTGAACACCTGAGTCTCTAGACCTGGTCCAGGACCATCACACTGTAAACCACAATCCTGTTCATTGGTCAGGTCTGAT